ATACCCCTGCAGCCTGCTGGAGATGGATGGCTTGGTTCTTGGCCTCTGTGGCCAAAGCCCTGTGGTAGCAGTGCAGCCCCTGACACCATTCAGCTTTCACTGATGAGTGCTTGCACAGCATCAAGGCTTTCTCTCCCCACTATTTACAGAGCAGCATGCATGGTAAGGCTTTAGGTCCAGGAATTAATGTTGCTGCAGCTACTGCAATCTTTGTGTGGCCTATGAAGGGTCAGAGGATGAAATGAAACTGGAATTTTTTCTTTTTATATAAAGTTGCACCTCTGGCTTACTTAAGGCACTAAAACCACACACCCCTCATTTCTTACACTGCTAGCAAAGACAAAGAAATATAAAGTTCTCTCCCAAGGAATGATCTAAACCCCCCCAAAATCTGCAGCTTTCATTAAGGAATAACAGCACTTGCCTAGGTCAGGCTGCCAGATATATGTCAATTTCTGTATAAAATATTTTAAATTGAAAGACTGAATCTCTCATCTTAACTTTTTTTTTTTTTAATTACCATCACACAGGAATGTCAGTGTTTCTCATGTTGAGGGTGACAAAAAAAAGAACAAATTTGGCTTCCCAACTGAACCCTAGAATTATTTACTTATCTTAATTACCTAAATTACCTAAATTTTAGGAACATAATATGAGACACAAAAACCCCAAAACCAATTAACTCTAAGAATTTCTGAAAACCACATAATGATTTTTAATTGAGAAATTCAGGTTTTAATAAACTGAAAACACTTGCCCTTTTATTATCTCTAGATTCCCCTGCTTCTGATGCTAGACTCTCATTGTTTTGTAGAAAAACAGCCCAAATGATTACAGTTCTCCTTTATTATTTCTCTGAAGTTGTTTTCCCCCCCCTTCCCAATTGCAGACATTAAGACAACTTGAGTGTATGGAGTTTTATCACGATTTCATGTCTGCCACACTCCCCCTGCAACCACCCCAGCTGAGGACTACACACAACAGCCAAGGGTGCTTCGGATCTTCCAAAGGTGAGAACAGCAGGGAAGCCTCTGGGAGCAGAGTCCAGGTGAGCCACATTAACATCTAGCCCACAAAAGGCTCGTTTTGTACATGGCACATGCAGTAGTCCATGGATTTAAATCTTCCACAAATTTGTGCTTGTTTTCTACTTCATTAATTGAAACAGCTGATTTCAAAGCAAAGTTGTTTAAAAATTACTTTTGTTTTACTACAATTGCTTATAAAAATGTATATAAATTATTAGAAACAGGACAAATTGACAGCTACACTACAGTCTGAATATTAGTACTGTTTTAATACTAGAAATCTGCACAAGCTTTGGTCACCATAATGATACCAATTTTATTATAACACCTGTGTTCAATGAGTCCCTAATTCTTTGTAATTGATATATCCATGTAGGAATTACTATTAATTGAAGTGTTATGGTTTTAATTGTAATGTCAAAATCTGCATTTTTCAGTAAGATGAAACATACTGTTTTCAATAAAGTGGAACGCTAGTTTTTAAAAAAATAATTCAAAATTTAAAGGGTTTATTTACAAAATAGAATACTTTAAAGTCACCACTGAAGACATCAAGAGCAGGACATGAGTTTTCTCTTTCTTACTAAATCAACCTGAATAATTAACACCAATTAGCATCAGTGGAAACCACTGACTTAATTACAAACAGTATTAATAGGTAAATAACAGTTAGAGAGAAATCCTCCTCACTTCTATAACTGGTAAATGAAAGACCTAGAAAGTAAAATGTGTAAGATGCACCCACCATGAATACACAGTTCCTGAGAAACCTCAGTGACACAAGTATTTTCAGGTACTTCTGAACTGGTGTTCTAATCTGGCTTTACTCAGTAAAATTTAATGCATAATATATGATACAGTATTTTCAGTTAACACAATATTCTTCATCATTTTTAAGTGGAACAATCTTGATACAAACTAGATAAAATCTAAGCAATTTTTTTCCCCCCCATGTAATTTAAAATGTTGTCTGCACCTTAGAGATGCTTGTAATGTTAACTGGTAATGACAGGTTTTTACTGGATGTTAGAACAGCAGAACAAGACCTTCTGGCCAGTGCAAGGATGTGCAGCAATGCATCCTCCCATTTCTACTGCTCTGTATAATTCTTATGAATACACATCCTGTCACCCTGCTGGCATGTAATTATTCAGAAAACTCTGTGTTCCTAACTGCATCTTGCTTCAAAGCCTAAATTTGAAATGCTCCTCTGCTAAATACAGCAGATATTGTCAAGATGAGTTCTCACTTCATTTACCTAATATGTATGTCACAACATGAAGTCCTGTGTCACCTCTTCAACAGCTTGAGCTTAACTGTGTGAATGATTCCAGGTGTTGCTCTGAACTTTTAAAACCAAAATTTGAAAAACATCAAATGATTCAAAAGTTTGAATATAAAATATTTTTGAGAATTTTTTAATATTTGAAGTATTTCAATACATCTTTAAAATTTTTTCTCTTTATTTTTTATTAAATATGGGGATATTTAAAATGCAATTTCACACAAAGGTTAAACAAAGGGAGATTGATAGAAACAGTAATAAAGAATAACTGATATATATTTTTTATTAAGAAAAGATACAGTAAACAAAATTCATTCACAAAATAGGTAATCAATACTTTTAAATACCATAAAGAATAACCTGAAAACAGAAAACACTTGTTAAAAGCCCAAACATAGGAAATCATCATGAGTAGAAAACATACATTGGCTCAGCATTTTTAACACAGTTGGGGATGTTATTCTATGTTAGTTCACGTTAAGATGAATAAACTTCTCCAATCATATGAAATAAGCAAACAAATGAAATTAAAAAATGAAAACAAGAGATTGTCAAATCAATACTCATTTCCTTCTTTTAATTATTATGTTTCTAAAAAAGTAACAAAACATAGCCAGGCTTGATACAAAACCTGTCAAACAGCCAGAAAAAGTCAGTCACTCCTGCCAGTTGGGAAAGCAGAATTTTCCAAAGTTGATTACTTCACCCATTCTCAGAGGTTTCAAAGGTAATCAGTGATTTGAAGAAAACAGAGGTAAAATACAAGTATTCATAATTTATAAAAAAAATGTCCTTGTAACAAGGTAATGCTTCAGCTACTCAAGTACTGGTTATTCCTTGACGGTCACATTTCTGTGGAGAAAGAAAAGATGTCAAAATACAGGTAACTATTATATTTCACTTATTAATATTAGGATAAAAAGTAGTAATTAGCTTTAGCCTCCTCAGATGATCTTCTGTTATTCCCAAATATCAACTATTAGCATATCAACCACTGACCCATAGCTAAAATGATTTACAAAAGTAATAGTGAGATGAGGAGGAAGAGAAAATTGCTTGAGAGGATGAAATCAGGTCAGAGAGAGACAGCTGTAACACTACAGAACAGTAATTACAGAGTACAATTTACTCTGTTAAGTTCCCAAGAAGGAATAAACAACAAGGATGAAAGATGGTAACAGCACTGCTGAGATCACTCTACTGTAATTGATACATTTAAAAGGCAAGATATGCATAACAACTGTATGGGAATTCAGTTGTTAAAAATCACATTCTTTAAAAATACTCACTTCATGAAAATGGGGTATTTTTTGGTAAGATATGGTACAGAGTTGACATTGTTAAAACTAGGGATACAAATACTAGACAAAAATAGTGCACTACATGGTATCCTCCAAGCATAGCAATTGGACTTTTTATTGTTCTCAGGACTCACTGTAAAGCAAGGAAGACTAAAGACAATACTCTACTGATGATGCTCCTTCTCAGAAATATATTATCTGTCATCACCTCAGTCAAAATGTTGTTTTACAGTATAACAGGGTGTGCCATGGGGATCACCAGTAAAGCAAAGGCATATCTGCTGATTCATCCCCACTGTCAGTATCTCATTTGCTACAGTTTCCACTTTTTGCTTTGCCCAAAAATTCACAGAAGAGAAAAACTGCTGACAATGTGGGTTCATGCCAGGCTGAGCTCAGTTCTCAAGAAACCTCTGTTTTTGTTAACAAAAGTAAGCTTAGAACAAGCCACGTATATTTACCAGCAAAAATAAACTTTAAAATCTGTTAGATTCATGAGCTGTAACAGCACACATATTTCCTACAACAATCACTCTTTATCTCTTCCTGTCCTTCCCCTTTTCACTACAATTTATTATTCAATATAGGACAGGTGGGATATACAGTCAATAATCGGGTCTGTAACATATAACTGGCATCATCTAAACCAACAATGATCTCTAAAAGAACAAACATGACAGTGAAAATGAACAGGTAAGGGGCTGATTTTGATTTCATTTTTATGGGCTATAGTGATCACGATCTTAGACATTCATAGATTCAAGCACTAACAATGAAAAATACATTAATTATTTTTATGCACTTGTTTTGGAGGTAAGCTTCATCTAGCATAGAGTTCAAATGCATTTTAGTTGGATTCTTCTGTGGAGTGTCTTTCCGTTACTGCTGTACTTGGGAGAAGTTCATGGCATTGCTCTTTATATGAACCATTCATTATTTGGAGATAACTATTAACAACAATAATAAAGTATACCTGGATATAATAAATGGCAGTAATATGCAGGCAACATATATTTGAAAATTGTCAGGTGGTGCAAGGCCATTAAGAAAAAGAGGATGAGAATCCATTACATTATATGGTCTTTGGAGAGCACTTTGGTTTATTGGTTGCCATCAATATTTTATAGCAGGAGAGACAGCAAAAGCAGAACTTAGAACCATCTGAAGCGTGTAACAATTTCATATAATCACAAAGGTATTGTTTAGAAACAGTTTAAACCTAACTCTCAGACAGAAAAGACTTGCTGAAGTCAAACCACTTACGTTTCAGCTGCTGCTGGCTCAGCGGCTCCGGCAGCGCCGCGCTCCGGAGAGCGCGCGGGAGAGCGGAGCGTGGAGCTGAGCGGCGGCGAGGCGCGCAGCGAGGACGCGCAGAGGCCGTGCCGGCGCATCTCCTGGATGGCTCGCTCCCTGCCAACACACAGCAACCTCAGCCTGGGGACTGCGCCGCGGCACAGGAACAGAACAGAGCCCTGCAGAATGCCTCGCTTCCTCATAAAGCCCCTCCGTTCTATTATTTATTCTATTTATTTTCATCAGAAGGGGGTTTTTTTTTATTCTTAGAGGCAGTGGTAAACTCCCAAAACTTATAAAGAAATTCAGAAACTGTATAAGATTTTTTTCTTTAAGCAGTTTTCAAGATGAAAATATTAAATTTTGTATGACAAGGGGAACAGAGTATTCCATAAAAGTTTCCCCCTGCTCAAAAAAGCAAGAGTTTTAAAAGTGAGAAAGAAGAAAGAAGGAGGGAGAGTCAACTCACTGCAAAACTGCATCTTACCGTTCAAATCGCTCAGTTGTCAGTTTCCTTTTTAAAACATCAGTGTCAGCCTGCATCTGTGCAACTTTACTTCGAAGCATGGAAACCTCTCTATTATTGCTGCTTCTAAAAAAAAATCAGGAGAAGCAACAAAGTTTTCTTTGAACAATGTCAGCTAGGAGCTTAGAGAAGTTAGAGAAAAATAAAACAAAACCAGATACTGAACATGTTGTTTCACAGACTAAATCAAATTAGAAGCAGCAAGAACCAAATGAATGCAACAGAATGTTTCTGGAAGAACCTAAGGTGAGAATGAAGCAGGAAGCTGGCAAGCCTCTCACTACATCCTGACTACATCAAGCTCTTTTTCAGACAAAGGTAAACACAAACATGCTTGATAAAAACAGACAAAACAATTAAATAATTATTTTATTTGCTTTACTGTTGTCTGTTGCAATTTGAGATAGACTTCGTGTAAAAAAAAAAGGCAGTAAATATCCACAAAAAATTACAAACTTAACAGACAATGGCTTCAGTAAAAATTTTATCAAGTAGATGGAACTATCTTGCGAGCCATGAACACAACTGAACCAAATCTAAGTAAAAATTGTATTAAAGCAAACACCAGACCAGCAAAACCCAGAGTCTGAAACTTAACTACACCCTTGGTATTTGTGCCCAATTGTTTCAAGTGCAAGAATCAAAGTTAAAAGGAGCCTTGAAAATCTTCAGAAACATGATTAATATACTTCTCAGTAAATCATCATCTTGGCTTACTCAATGCTTGGATGCAAAATACCATCAATTACATTATAAAGGAAGAAAAAGAAATTATTGCATGTAAAATAGGTTGTCTAAGCAAGAATCTAGACAGCTATGTCATTCCATACAGTCTTCAAAGCCACTGTGAGGTGGAGTGCTCAAAACTTTCTCCTGGAGAAGGAAAGTTGTACTGGTTTATTGCTAAAGCACTGGACTGGAGTTCTGAAAAATGAGTTCCACTCCTAGCTCAGTCACAGACTTCCTGTCTGGCACCAGCCGGTCTTTGACTCCAGGAAGACGTAAACTACTCAAGAGATTTGTTCCAAATAAAACCGCAGAATATTTTTTCCCATGTTCCCTACTCATCAGTAAAATTCCTAGAATGGTATCTTGATCCAGTATGTCGAGAACAGATGCAGAAGACAAGACATCTTGATGATATTTTATATGTCCTTCAAAGACAGGCATATGCTTTCAGGATGGAGGTAAGAATTCAGGGCCCAATATCATTATTGTAAAATAAAGAAAGAAAGCAAACAGTTTGTGAGTTCTGAGGTTATTCTGTTCAGTGACATTTAAACAAAATTAAGAGCATTAAGTAAATCACTCCAAAACTTAGAAACATTTTGAAACCCTTTATGCACAGTAATCATCATGTAAGTTTACATGATGATACACAATTTTCAGAGGACATCTCTTTCACAGCAGATACACATAGCTCTCAACAAGTAGTTTAGCTGTTCCAAATTCTCTGTTTAATTCTTTAATCACTCTAGAGGATCAAGACCACATTTACTGTACTATCACCCATGCAGTACTCAAAGTAATAACTACTTATTCTTTACACTACTCATAATTACAGCACTGGAGAACTTCACAAGTTAAACTTACTTCTGAGAATACTTCTGAAGTCAGTGCCATTTTCTAAATAAAGTGGAAGGACAGGTACTATAAAGCTAAAACTTTAAATAATGTTCACAAATAATTGTCACATACTTCAGCACAGCTGTGAGCATTTAAAAATTCCTGTTCATTAGACTGCAACTACCACAAACCAAATAGTAGAAAATAAGGTATATACAACTTGTTCTCACACCTGAACACTTGTCTAGTAACATGCAGAACCTTGAGATAAACAGTGGAAAGCAATTCAACAGAATGGCCACTCTTCCTCCAAGAGAACATTTTCCATCTCCCTGCAAATATCTCACCCTATTAACACTGCAAGTATTGACATTTACAAAAAACAAATGAACCTTACAATGTGTGCAAAAGAAAAACAGTGAAAAAACGACTATGCACATAGTTAAACAGTTTTATAATGTTTGTACACAAAGTAACTGGATTCAATTTCATTTTAAAAATTCAATTTAATAATCTCCAGATTCACTGAGATCACTGCTCCTTGACCATCATAAACCATCACAAGTTGTAGCCTCTACATAAATCAACCAAAAGCGTATTTCTTGAACATCTGTGTCACCAGTTTAAGTGGAATACACGCTATATCTCACGAGGAGTATTACCTGTTCCATTAACTTCCACGTTTCCTTTCTCTCCCTAGGTTAGTGTTTACTAAACAGGTGGGTTTCTACATCTGAAATTCTGCTTTGACTTTACTCTTCACCACCATCTGCACTCAGCTGCTACTCCTTGTTGCTATTTAATGCAGAGCTACCACTAGCTCCTGCTGATGTATCCTTAGGAGAATTTCAAACACACACAAAGTTAACTCCCCTCTTAACTTCATTGCTCCAAACAGATCAGTCTTTTTTATATATAAGCGTTGCTAAAAGTTATTGCTTTTTTAGGCAGATCTGCAGCAGAAGTTGCTGGCCACATTTGGTGGAGGTGTCAGGTTTAGTTCTGTTCCTATTTCAAAGGAATAATAAGTGACACAGGACTTTTCCCACAACCATTAATATCAAAAGTAGCAAAAGTACTTTAAAGCACTATAACTTCACTATTTATTATGTAAGTGATTTTTAATCAAAGCAAGGACAATAGGCATCTTCAGCAGATAAGCAATTCACATTTACCATGAATTTAATATACTTGGGTTTTTTTTTGTGAGCAGTAAGCACATGTTAAAATTTTATGTAGAAGATATTTCCTTTGGAACTCCTGTTCAAGTTTACTGCTTGCACTAAACTGATGTCCACCAAAGTGCTGATTAATTGAAAGCAATATGAAAGACCTGTAAAGAAACTTTAAATGATGAAAGGCCAAAAGACATTGCTGCAAAAATCTGCTCAGTCATACCCAACACCCAGATTTTGTGAATAAGTATTGTCACAAAGAAATAGTTCTTTTGCAAACGACATAACACACACACATTTGTTAAAACTTACAGTTTGCTCTCAGCCAGTGTTAGCTTGTCTTTCAGTAACTGAATTTCGGTATCTTTGTCTTGGGACATTAATTGATTCTGAAATTCTTTGTCTCTACTAGTAGCCAATAAAGTTTCAAGATTCTGAACTGTAAGTCTCTCACTGGATAGCTGCTTTTTCAGCAACTCTCCTTCTGATTTTGTATCTTCTAATTCTCCTAGAACCTAAGGCACAAATTTTATATGTTATTAACACACTAATTTACAAACACAGAGAATTTTATTTTGTGAAGATTTGTTACAAAAAAATGAAATGGACAAAAGTTTCATAAAAAAGATTAGGAAACAGCTCACAAAATAATGTAAAGCCTACAATTATTTTAAACTATACTTAATTTAAAACTTTTCAAGCGGTACATCTGTCAAATGTTTTACTGGGAGCTGCATTACTGAGTGCTGGAAATGTTTAGGTAAGTACCTGGAACACAAATTGGCTTTTAACAGTAGAACTTTGCACAAGTGTTATACTATACTTCATCCTATTTGACTAGGTCAGCCCACAATTAGCCTCTTGGCTTTTGCTAAAAATGCAGGAATACTTGTTTTCCTCTTCAGTTCTGTGAATATAAACAAATTTTACTGTTCTCAAGGTCTTAAATATTACAGTCCCAGAAAGGCTGACCAAGTCACTAAATGAAGACAAAATCAGCTGTAAAGAAAAAGGTTCAGAAAATATGAATATTTAGAACTTTTAAAACTATTTCAAAATATTCAATGAATTCTAGCTGTATCTCAATTTCTTAACTGAAAAGATGCCATTAGTGTAGAGTCTTTACTATTCAAATAAGAAGTGTACTATTTGCTTTTTATAAAGTTTGAGTCAACTAAAAAACCAAAAATAAATATATATATGATCTGTCTGTGGTACAGTTAAAACTACACCTGCAACATTTTGCAGTGGTAATGAATCAAAGAAACTCCCTCTTTTTGTACAAAACCCACAGCTAAGGATCTGTATATTGTAAAATTTATAATGTATATAAAAACACAAAACTAATGACGTAAATTAACTTACCTTGTTTTAAGAAGCAATTATTTTCTCCAAAACCTACTAAAAGCGAAGGAAGTTACTTTGTTACAGCAAATTAAATTTGCCTTTGCCTCTTACCCTTTCATAATCCATGCTTTTGGACGTGAGCTGTCGAGCTAAAAGTTCTTTGCTAGCCTCAAGTTTCACACAGAGTTCTCTCACAGAAGCGAGGTCTGCTAACACAGAAGCCTTATCCTGATTTTCACGTTTAAGATCCTCTTCCAATCTGGACATATTTTTGGTTATGGAGGAGAGCTGAGATTCATATACTTGATGTGCAACAATGTGCTAAACAAAACCAAATACAGATACATTTTCAGTGTTAAATTTATGAGACTCCTGTTGAATAACCTGGGTTTTTTAACACTTTATTTTCCCTATAAAATTTAATATTTCTTCCCTCACCCTAAAACATAGCTAAGGGCAACTAATAAACCACCTCTGCAATTTTTAATCACCAACTTGAGTAATGATACAAGTACTATAAAAAGGTGGAACAAGAATTAAGAAGCTTAAATCCCAAACATACAACCTATTTTTAACTCAGCTTACAATACAGTCTCTAACTCCTTCTGGCTAATTCCAAGTATGGAACAAAATGTTGTCAACCCACCACATTTATGCTCTAGAACTTCTCTTACTGCTTCTAAAATATAAACCTCTGTTCTAAAATATAAACCTCTGCTTCTAAAATATAAATCTTATGTTCTACAACATTGGTCTAGGATTCAGTATTGTGGAATCCTGATTCTGAATTTGGATGTCTACCAGATTTTTACCTTGAGTCCAGCCACCAATGCTTCAAATACTTCATTCAAAGCTTCAAAGAAACGTAAGAACTAAGCTTGCAAAATACTCATAACGCTATATGCAAATATTCTGAAGCAACTTAACAGAAGTTTCTTACAATGTCATAGTAACAGTGATAACCAAACAGAAGAGATCTAAAACTATGAAAATATATGCTACAATTCTAATTTTGGGAAAGCAGGAGTGAAGCAAAGCACATCTAAACAAAATCAATTACTGTTTCAAAAACTCCAGTGTTTGTATTTGAAACATTCACATGCAGAAATTATTTTCCATTAAGGTGTTAAAAATCGTCCATTGACTTTATTTAAAAGCACTTGGATGTATCCCACTGTCCTAGATGGAATTCCATTGCACATTACCCCTTGAATCTCTTTTTCCAGTAACTCCACTCTCTCTCGAAGATGCCTCCGATCTGTATCTACTGAAAGGAGTTCCAGGCGTATGGAGCTGCTTTCTCCTTCAGCTTGATGAGCCTTCATTTCCCAGCCTTCAGCTTGTGTATGGAGCATCCGGAACTTCTCTAACAATTCTTGGTTTTCTTTTTCCTAATGAAACAGTAAATCACTCTGCAACGATCAACATACCTTCACGTTGTTTGATCTCATTTCACGCCTATTCCTTAAAATAGCTCATTTTTTTCCCCTTAGAAAGCAAAACTTCCTTCATTTTCTTCATCCCACTATCCGGCAACTACTAAAATTCATCATCCCTTTTCCAAGTCCAAATAGCAAATAAGGCATTAAGTTTTATTAAAGTGGAATTACACTTAGGAGTTGCTAATGAGTTTTAATACACCCAGGAGAGGGGTTATTTTGGATCTCTCTGCATTGTCAAGGGTCACATTACTGAGATACACTGCATGCTGCCCTTTCCAAGAAATTCCATTTTCAGCTCTTTTAGTTACTTTACTCTTATAAATATTTGCTTTTTAGCAGTGCCTGAAACACTGGTAATCTACTAGAGCATACACACCAAAGGAGTCTATCACAGAGGTACAAAAATGCAAGCTTTGGTGCTCACCATTTGTGCAGTGATAGAACAAATGTTGCTTGTGAATTTTACTTTGGCCAAGAGTGGATTATAAGGCAGGGATAAATTTTTCTTATTTACCTCCATTCCCTGCTCAAATAATGTGCAGTGGGATATGCAGGTTGGTAGTATAAATCAGTATAAATCTAATGAGAAAGGCAACTCTTTCTGAAATTTCTTCTGTGTATCCTGCAGAACTTGGGATATGCAGGTTGGTAGTATAAATCAGTATAAATCTAATGAGAAAGGCAACTCTTTCTGAAATTTCTTCTGTGTATCCTGCAGAACTTGGGAAGTGCAGAGAGGATCAGGTGGAGCATTAGGAAATAGAAACTTCAGACTTAGCAAGTGAACACTGTGCAGAAAAGTAAATCCTTGTCTCCACGGGCATTCTCCAGATATAATACTAGAAAAATCCCTGAATTGGTTGCTGGCTGTGTATTCTATAGCTTCCTGGTACCCAACTTGAATAACTTTTTTATAATAACTTGATTATCATTTGCCAAAGGTGTAGAAGGTGTAGCCCTGTCTGTAGCTGAAGTAGTTTGAACACATGATATGCTGTAAAATTCTTAAAAAATAAACTTCAAATATTTTAGATTGATAGTTCTAAGCTAACCTACTACTGACCTTAACCTTTTCTCCATGCTTCAGTTTCTACTTGTAAAAAGTGGTTGAATTTACATGCATTCATCTAGACATGCAAGTTGAAGTCAGATCAAAACTTATTCTTCCCAATCAAAGTCATATAATAAATTTGCCAGTTCATGTTGTCTTGACACAAATCCTATCTTTTTAAAATGATTTTAACTCATATATCATGCTTTTGAATTCAAGTATCATGATAAAGGACATTTAACCAGAGCACTATTTTAACATTACTATTTTTACAATTTTATGCAGAACAGATAACATTTTTTTCTTTTCCAAAAGGGCAAAATAATTAAAATCATTGTATAAGCTGCTTTCTGCCTACAATAATGAAACAGTACCTGTTATTTTACTGATTGCCTGGTCAAAAGCCAAAAAGCAAAATAACATTCAAACATGACATGTTTGTCAATCTCCAGCATTATGGCCAATTGAAACATGATCCATGAAATTGTGATGTGCTAGAATTAATCAGTGCTCCAGATCTAACAATGTGCTATATGAATCCCCCACTAGTAGCTTTAAACACTGCAGAGAAAATAAGGAAAAACAAAAGAAAGAAATGGGACCAAACCATGCAATTCTTACTTTGTTTTACTGAATGCAGTAATGACTGCCTACAGATAATATTTTTTACCTTTGAAGCTATCAAGTTCTCAAATCTGGAGACTTCAGTTATATAACTATGAACCCTGGTTTTCATTTCTTCTTTTTCACGTATTGCATCTTCAAGCTCGGTACTGACAGCCTAGAGAGATTGCATAAAGGCAAAATTGTGCTTTGCAGTAAATTAATTACTATATAATACCCCATCAGATTAAATCAAAGTAATTGCATATGCCCTAGATTTTTTCTATTCTACTTACAAAGCTCTTTGGGATTTGTAGAGTTCAGAAATATCTCCTGTTACCTGAGATGTACCAAAGAGTTTCCAGGCAAGAGTAATCACAATAAACAATGACTATCCCACCAGTTCATAAAACATGAAGCTTCCCTGATGACACACCCTACTGATCTTTGGAAAATTTGACATATTGATGTTTGGGAGCTGGAATTTTTATAGCTTTAAGATTCAGTATTCCTGAGTAAAGGAAAGATTTAGATCAATAGAAAGCCAACTTCCTAACAAAATAACATTTATTTTAAAGTAGAATTGCAAGACAAAATAACTAAATACACTAGTAAGATCATATTTAAACATCAAAAATGTACCATGTAATTTATTTGAGATATTTGAACTGCCAATTGCATCCCTCTCAGCTTCAGCTCTCTTCTTCTGAGTCATCTAGCCCAGAGAGCCATAACTGCAAGTATCTTTTTCTATGTCCATGATCAAATGTGGGGAAATAAAAGATGCTGCCTTATTTCTTCCCCTTCTTTTTTTTGTGGTATATTACTATTCATTAGCCTTTTTATTGTATGTCTTATTTAACATATGCTAAAATCAGTCTGCCTGTCTCTGTGGTAGCCTTCCCAAACACTGGGAAAACTTTCATAATCGTATTACGATAATATTCAATATTTCATCTTATTAGACACCTGTAAAGAGTAGGTCTACTTTCAATAGTATATCCACATATTTATATATTGCACTATAGGTTTTGCAAGAACTGTTCAAGGTCCTAATCACTTCCATGAAACATGTTGCTATATTATACTTTGTGGCATCAGACTCAGCTGGGGTGACTGAGGGGAATTGAAATAAATGGTTTAGTTAAAAATGTCCTGATCAGTTTTAGTGTTTGTACTTACAGTGAATTCAAACAAACATTTGTATCTTGGGATGAAAATTTTAAAAGGTGGTTGAATCTCACGAGGAGCTGCAGTAGTTGTATTTGCTATACAAGTTGTATGTTATGAGTTGCAACAAAATTCCAGGTTCACTCTTAAGATAACTCTCACATACCCTCTACATGGACTTTCTAATGCTCAGCCCAATAAAAGATGATACTTACCCTATAAAACACTGAACATTTTGGTTATATATTGTCCATAAAGACACTCTATACTATAGGGACATCCATGTCATGCACTTGGAGTTGGGAGGCTTTTGGTCAGCAATAACCAGCTGCTGCACAAAACCAAATCATTGTTCCTCCAACACCCTAATCTCCAAAAGACCCTAATCTAAAATATGGCATACCTCATTCAATAAATCCAGTGCTTCATGGAAACTAGATGGATGAAACTAATGAATCACTGCACCAGAACAAATTCAGATGTGCTACCAATCCCCTTCCTCTCCCTCTCACTTTCACCTGATAATCTGATGTCTGCTTTTGGAGTTTCTTTCTCTCCCTCTCCCACTTTGACCTGATAATCTGATGTCTGCTTTTGGAGTTTCTTTCTCTCTCAATAATCACTTCCAAAGGTAATAAACCCAATCTTTACCAATTAAATACTGATTGCGAAGTGATATAACCAATTAACATAATTTCATTATATTATAAACAATAAAGTTCTAGATTTAATTTATTTTGATTTCTTTTTTAGTCTCAGGAAGCGTTACCAAACTGAAAGCTTGCCCATTTCTCCCTCACTGCATTACTACACTGAAGTATCTGAAGTATTGCTTTTACAATTTCTGCCTAGTGATTTTCAATAAGCCAGGGCTCAAGAAATACCAATCATTAAACACCTCAATCAGAAGCGAGGATGTAGCAGTTTTGATACAAGCAAGCAACAAATGATTTAATACAGCAGTGTCACATACTGCCTTCATACCTGGTTTTCCCTGGCCATTGTAGCCAGGTCATCTTGCAGTCGCCTGTTTTCTTTCAGAGCCATGTCCTTTACCCTTCCCATTTCTGCCAGCTCTAGCTGGGACGTATCAAGCTGGCGATGTAAGCTGGCTATCTCACGGTCTCTGTTGTTCAGCCTGTCCTGCATCTGGCTATCAAGTGAAAACATTATTAAAATTGTCCCTTCTTGTACTATACCATATACTGCTGAAAATTATCAGATAAAATTCTTGCTCTCTGAATGACGACAAACTAAGTCTAAATAAAATGTAAACTAAGTATGTAAAATGTCAATATGCAGAAATAAGATGGATTTAATCTTAGTTTTGAAGACATATCTGGTAAGATGTATCTTATTACACAAAGAGCAATTACAGATAACAATTGTTATTTGTGTTTGGTAATGATTATGGTAATTGCATATTTTCTAAGCCATAAAGGAAGAAGACAAATAATTTACACTTGAAGGACAATTATCAAAAGAGTAATGGAAAGATTAAACGAAAAATTAGAAATATAAATATCTGTAAACTTAGGTGAACTTTTGCATTGGGTTTTTTTGACACATATAGCTCATGCATCAATATAGCTAATATTCAGTTACATTGGGCTTCAAGTATTTAAATATTGGTGTTTAAATTTTTAAGATGCTGTAGTTTAAAAAGTCATGCTTAAAAAGAGGAAAGAATGAAAGATCAGAGCAAGCCCAGCTAAAAACTACGTAAATACATTTTAATTAAGACTGTACTTCAGCTAGAAGAATTAGATTGCCAATCATTAAGAATTCAGCTCTGACTCTTACCTGGGTCAATCTAACACCTAGTGGAGTGCTAGAAAACTACTCCTTGACCAAGAGTTAGGAAACCTTACCAGTTTAGGGAAATTAAGACAGACAAGCAATTGTTAATGATTGTTGTAACAGTTTCTTAGCAGCCTGTAATATAATTGCAGAGAAAGTGCCTTCCAAAGTTGAGTACATCTTTCTCAACACAGTACAGTCCTCTACTTAACTCAAACAGGATTAACTTAATTTCATCAAAAAAACCCTAAAATAGCCTTCTACTTTCTCTTTGAAACTACTACATAAAACAAAACCTCCAAAGAAGGCATCCTACTCTTTACTTACTCTGTTGAGGACTCCAGCTCAGAGAGAGTTAAACGTAAATGAGCAATTGTTTTTTCCTATGAAAAAAAAATTTTAAAGTTGTATTAGGTATTATTATGTTGCAGCATAAGAGGGCACTTCATTAAAGAACTTTTAATGTAAACCTTTATCTTAGTTCTTCACCAATAAGTGATTTCCAAGTTTCTTGTCTTTCCTGAGAAAGGATTGTCTTGTCATTGAAACAGATGGAAGTCAGCTATAGATTTTGTCACCTCAGGCTAGTACTTTATACCTCAATAAACCCCTCCACATGCAAAATGCAAACAAATGCTTCTTTATTTTCTTGAAGTATTTAGGGAATACAGTTACTTTCATTATTAAAGTTCTATTGAGTTGACAAATGACTCTGCATTGGGTCCAAGCACAGTGTTTATGTGCTCTGCACAGACTTTTTCATCAAGGCAAAATGTCTCCCTAAAACATAACTGCTTTAAAAATCCCCAGGTGGAATGCAAAGTAGTACTGGACATACCCTGTTAGCTAAGTTGTCATCTAAGCATGCAATTCTTTCTGTTTTTTCATCCACGGTTTCTTGAAGACTGTCCTTTTCTTTGTCCAAAACACTAATTGTACTTCTCAGCACACTCACTGCTTCTTCCTGGGAAGTGCTCCTCTGGTTTAACCTATCTAAAAACAAAAGAGTAAGTGCTTTCTATTTTAGAAACAGGAAATAAGCACAAAAATAATTACAGATTACCTATTATCTCTTTCAGCTTTATAATTTCATCTTGAGCTGCCAGCAGTTCATCCTTTTTGAGGGACAATCTGTGCTGTAAATCTTCAATAGATTTCTGTTTTTGGTCATTTAAGAGCCTGAAAAATGAGTGTACAGTTGAAAGAAGCTTGGAACTTACTCTGGGTCTTCGACTTCTGCTGTTGAGCTGCTTCAAGTGCTGGAACAATTCCAGCATAACCTCCTGACAGGGCTGTATCACCCACCAGCAGCATGGGGTTGTGCCATACTAACCATCCTCTCCCTTGAGGAGAGGGAGGACTTAAGGATTGCTGAAGCCAACACTACTTGGACTGCTTCTTCAAGTCCACCACAGACTGTTTGTATGGATCATAAGATACCAGTTCTCAAAACTGTAGGTCCTACTGCTGCAGTTTGCAAAGGCATCTGTCTTCTTTTTAACAAACAGAGTTTGGGAATCCTTTTAGAAATTTTCAGTTCTGCTACATTCATAAGCAGAAAATATGGCTATTGCAGGAAACAATTCTAGAATGAGCCATAAAAATTATCAGTATATTTGGTCATCAAGTAAGTCCAGGAGAAGCTTGCTGTGAAAAGCTACCACAGCACTTTCCTTACTTACACCTACTTTTCTTTAACATACAAGCTGTACCAAGTGATTTTTAAAATATTTAAAAATATTTATAATTACAGTCTTTCCCAAGAACTCAACTCTGCTATACAGTCACAGAATAAACAGAATTATTCTAGCATCTGTAAAAGGTCACCACATTTTGTATCAGACTTACTGAAGTGAGCAAATCTCAGCTTTAAATTGAGAAGAATCATCAGAAGTCTGGGCAAGTTTACTTGACTTCAGATTTAATTCATTTTCCAAATAGTTTATTCTTTCTTTCAGGATAGAGACTGTAGTCCTCAGCTCACACTTTTCAATCTGAAGCTGCAATTTAAAATAAATAACCAAAGGTTATTATTGCAGAAAGCTATCACAACTTGGCTTTTAAATAAACTTAAGTTGAAAACAGATATTAAAAATAATTTCTGGAACAGTCTATCTTATTTTAGAAATAATAAAAGCTTACTTCCTAAAAAAGCACTTACTCCTTGAATATTATTCTCCAATTCTGAAATATCATGCTGCAGCTTTGATTTTTCATGGTATGCTGCTTCTTGATGCATCTGAGAAATATAAAATTACATGTAACAAGACAGATATTTTTAGATTTAATCAGAGAAATTTAAGCTTCATGTTTCAGAAAATATTGCTTTACATTCTTAAATGAATGACCAAATGCAAAGCTTTCGCTGTAAAACTACAGAACTTTAAATGAAAATACATTACTGTAGTTTAATATAACATCACTGATTTGGGGTTTGATTCTTGGTTTAGATTTTTTTAAAGGGCATATTTATATTTGGTCCCAACTAAGTTAATATTTTGAGTTGTTGTAGAGTTTAATGAGCTACATGAGGGTGCATGCATGTATAACTTAGTGCCCTAAGACATTTTAAATAAATTTATTCAAATATTATTAATTACAACATGCAAGGCACACTAGAAAGCTAACTGGCCTTTCCCTGTATCTATGAAGAAACTTTTAAAGATTACTTATCTGTTCCCTGACCTCTGTGCATAACTGCAGTGAAACAAACTCTCAGTCTTCCTAGAAATGCCTTACATTAGTGTGTTTGTAACGGTATTTCCAAGTGGCACACACATAAAACACTGGTAGTCACCTATTAGAAGAAAGGATGGAGCTGGAAACACATCTCTACTACTGCATGCACATGCTTTAAGCAAAGAGGTCAGATTTACTGCCACTGCATTCAGATACACAACAGGTCTTTATTTTTGTGGTAGTAAAATCAAACTATGGAAGCATTCATCATACAATCACGATTGACATATGATGTCTTGGGATAAGTCCATTGAAATTATTTTCAAAACATTTTCAAACATTATATTAATGACCAATACAGAAGGCAGGGGAAAACAATCCCCTGAAACCACAGGCTCTTGACTACAACCATGAATGCACATTAATACCAGACATCTATGGTCACAGAACCATAGAATGAATCATTTAAGTTGGAAAAGACCTCTAAGACATTAAGTCCAACTATTAACCCAGCACTGCCATATTCAACACTAAACCACGTCCCTATTTGCCATATCCACATGCTTTTAGAACATTTCCAAAGCTGGTGATTCCACCACATTCATGGGCTGCCTGTCAAGATCATAGTAACAGGAAAACCGCTGCGTTAATAAACATTTTTAAAGGTCAAAAATACTGAAAGTTGGATTGAATTTATGTTTCATGGCTCAGTTATGTGCCATTTAAAATATACTCTGCTAAAAATGCAACAGTAACTAAAGATCAGCAAAAATGAAAAAGCCCATATAACCCCCAATTTGTAGGATAAGAATCATATGTGACTGTGACAGTGTGCTCCACCCCACTCCCCCTCTTTTTTTTTTTTTTGGTTAAGCACTAGTTGCCCTTCTGATAGCTGCATCCAGCTGATGACCTTACCATCAAATCTTGTTAAATCACCATTGCATTTACCATTGAATTTTTGAAACTCAGTGCCTTAAGTGAATAAAATACATTGTTGTTTCTCTCTTGTGAGTGAAGTGGATGATTTCTTCCACAACAATGACACCCAAACATCTTCAAAGTAATTGCATATGCAAGAAGTATTCCGTGTCTGGGCCTCCATATCTAGGTCTCCCACACAAGGTTTGCCCTTAAATACTTTAAAGCATGTTCCTCTACTCCTGCCTGGGACTGTGTTTACAGGAAAACTTGGTAATTAATAACAATAACAGTAACAATAACAATAATAGGTATTTGATAATAATATAAATTCATTGAGCTCTCAAGTGAGTTTGAAATCCAAAGTTATTGAAAGGAAACTGACAGATAGCCAAACACAAACACAGCATTATTGTATAACTCTTCCCTATATGTCACCTCAATGTAGCGATAAAGCTCACCTTTAATTTTTCTCCAAGACTTTCTTTTTCTGCCTTTAGTATTCTGAAGTCAGTCAGTGCAATGTCTCTTTCCTCTTCTATATGACTTTGAGAAACAAAACTGTGTTTTGCTTCTCTTCTCATCCTGTTCAATTCGCTCTGAGACTTTAAAAGATTATAGTTTGTTAGCATACCTGGACTGCAATATAGAGTACACACTAACAAAATGCTGCAGTTATAGTAGAAGTCCCATTACAGCCTTATTTTTTCCCTAGATAACTAAAATGTATTCCCTAAATCACTCAGTGGCATGACAACTTACACTGTCAAAATAATCATCATTCTTTTTTTTACTGTCCCAAGTATACCCTAACTTTACTCTTCTTTTATCAGTTAACTACTCCTTTCTTGCTCCCTTGCTGTATCTTTACACAACTTTCTCATGCATTCTACTGATTTTTTCCTGACGTTTATCATTTGAAAATGCCATTACAATAACTTTTAATATCTTTAAAGTCAATAAACTAACTAGAACACATAATTTATTAACTAGTAATAAAAATAGATATGTATTTTATTAGCCTTGTTTATGTTCTACTAGTTTTTTCAATTTAAATAACCAACAGTACAAGAAGTGTTAACTGGTTATTTCAATGTTAACTATAAACAATTTCTTCTTACCTGCTCATAAAGAACTTTTAATCTATCTCTTTCTGCAGTCAATAATTTCACATTGGACTGAATTTCTATCATGTGTTTTTCAAATCTGTCTAACACGGACCGCAGCTCATCTCTTTCTCTGGTGATTGATTTAAGCTCTTCACTCTGAAAAGTGATCAATAGATTTATGTTAAAATTTTCTAATTAAAACATCTGAAAAATTAATAAGAGAAAAGAACTCTTCCTATTAGCAATACAAACAAAATATATTCAAAATCATTTTAATCACAAGAAAAAGCCTGGCACTGGTGGTGTAATCTAAACAAGACTCAGCTGTTAAAAAGAAAAAGCAAAGGAGCTAGCCATAAGATTTCAGCCTTTTTCTGATTATTATCTAGTTCTATTTATTTCAATAAACTGATCAATAACTAATCAGTGTATGACAAGGAAAGAAAAAGGCAAGTTCACTGGAGTTTCTCTCGGTTGATTTTTTCTATCAAGAATGCAATTTAGAAAACTACTACAGTCATTTAACGCCACTGAATTTGAAAATGTATTTGATGGCTTCTGAATTGTTTCTACAGTATTTTTTTTCACTTATTTTGACAGCAAGAACTTTACCTTCTCTGCAGTCCTGCGGCTTGGGCTAGGCTTTAGTTTAACCATTTTCTGAAGATAGTCTAATGCTCGCTTATAGTAGTCTCTGTCATCTTCTAAGGTCTTTACAAATGCATCTAGACGAGATGGAGATTTGTCTCCTAGGGCAATACCATAGTCTAATCTCATTCTTTCAATTTCTAGGACAAGTTCTCGTTCTGGAAGGAAAAAAAAAAGAAGAAAGACAAACAACTGTATATGGAAGCCATGAATTTCCTCAAAGACACTGGCATTTAGGATGGATTAACTTGCACCAACCATGCAGGCAGCAATCCTGCTGAACAGGATTCTAAAGGCTAAAGAGGGCTAAACACAAGTGAGTAGCATAAGAGCATCAGAGGCCTGACAGCACCTTGAGCTGTATCGACAGACAGAGGGATGTGATTATTCCCCTTTATTTAGCACCCATGAGACTGCACTTAAAATACTGTTTTAAGGTTTGTCCCTTCTACAACAAGAAAGATGTAGATAAATTAAATCCAAGGCAAGCCCTGCAAGCTGGTCAGGGAGCAGAATACATGCTCTGGGGGGAATAGCTGAGGGAACTGGGTTCATTCAGCCTGGAGAAAAGCTGGAGAGCCAAGGGCACACTGACAGTACCAAGGGGGACTTGCAGAAAATGTAGAGAAAGTTTCTTCACAGGTACATAGTAGGTAAATAAGCAACAGTGGCAATTAATTGCTACAAGCAATTACAAACAATTGTAATACAGGGAAAAATATTTTGCTATGACAACTGAAGAATATTAGAGATACTGTGGAATCTTCATCCCTGGAGGTTTTCAAAACCGAGATGGATAAATCTCTCAAGAAACAGAATCTGAAGAGTTTTGGAAATGACTTTGTATGAAACTGCCACAGAATTAGGATAAGGATGTCCTATGGGATCACAGTAAAAAGCTCAACTTTCAGTTCTCACATACAGAATGAAAAATCTTTCTATAACAAGAGTTTTCACTTCAAATATGACTGGACACCTATGGTTTTCTTTTAATTTATATATATTAAAAGGCTTTTAGTACTATCAACTCTATGTTAACTAGGAAAGTATTCCATTTCAAAAATTACAGAAAAGTAGCTTCCAAGAATCTACATTTGATGATTTACCTTTTCTTTCTAAGTTCTCTGTTTTTTCTGTCAGCCTTTGCTTCTCTTGTTGAAGCTGGTTTAACAGCAGTTCAAGATTCCCTTTTTCATCTGTTTTCCCAGAGAGTTTTTCATTCAGTCTCTCATTCTCCTTATGACATGAGCACAACTCCTGAAGTAACAAGTATTATTATAAAAATTAGAAGTGCCAATAGAGACACTTGGGAAAAAAAATTAACATTTTGATCAACTTTTAATATACAACACTGTTTACTTCTGGTTGACCTGGATAACTGATGCTTTAACATTTGTTGCAGGCCATCATTGTATTTATACCACATTTTATTAAGCCTAACTAAGCATTAATTTTTACATGGTTTGCAATCAGCACCAAGAAAAGCAAACCAACCAGTAGGATAGTGGGATACAAACATGGGAAAAAAGTTAAAGACTAAAGCAAGAAATAATTTTAAGGGCATTTGGTAACAGTGTTGGTGTTGAAGTGCATTACAATACAGCATCTCAGTCAATGCAACTCTGAAGCCAATCAAATGCTATTTGGCACACCCTTCCTATAATCCGATGTCCTGAAAATTGAGTATTTTTGTATTTGCAAGTTCCCTAGACAGACTAAAACAAAACACTGTACTCAGCTAATACACAAGTTGCCATATATGCTAGAAAGAGTTTGGTCTTCAAAGAATTGATAATAGTGATGTTTTTCATCTGGGCCCTATGCTTTGTTTCTGAGTGAGCCAAGTACTGGATAATTTTTCACATCCCAACTAAGAGACAAAGTAGTTTCAAAACAATGAAAATCCTCTAGGATGTTATAACTCATTTGTGGTAAAAATGATTATGTCACCAGAAAATTATGACTTCAGACAGCAGAAATAAGGAAATGTACAATAAGTACATAGTCAACCATACTGTCTACAGAGGTCTACAGAGATTTCTTTCAGTTTATCTTTGCAACAACATGATGTAGCTTCTTTAGCTCTTTCATTTATTTGTTAGTAATTTTTACATCAAAGGTTCAGGGTACTAAAGAAGTTCTCTTGCTAATTGTTAAACTGATTTCTTTTATAACAAATGAAACAATCACATGGATGACAACATGATAAAAAGGATAGAAACAAAGAACTGAAAAAATAACTGAAAATATTTTACTTACTGATTTAAGCCTTGATATTGTTTCTTGTAGATCCTGTATTTCACTGACTTTTCTTTCAATTTCTTTCTATCAACCAAAATTAACCTATATGTTAAGAGTTACATATTCAAAATGACAAAAATCCCTTTGTTACAAAAAAAAATAAGGAAGCAGACTGTTTTGGTAAGAAATGAAGTATAGTTAGTTCCTTGTAATAAAGCAGTACAGCTCCTATGAAGTGAAAGCACAAAAAATTTGTGGTATTGACACCCACGCTCTTTTGGAGCACAATGATTAAATGAATCACTGCATGACTCCTCATAGAAAAAAAACCCTCCAAATATATGTACTGCTGTTGCAAATATGCATTACCTAGCAATAGCTCTAAGTACCCCAGCATTTTATTTCTTACTAAGGTAATAAAAGAAACAAAAGATTGTCCCTTAACTAAAATCATCTCAACCTAATACAGTAAAGAGACAAAACAGTTGTGATTGATCCACTTTAAGTGAGAAATTCCATGACATGTTAAGAAAACTGGAAAAAAATCCTTTTAATCTTCCTTTCACAAGCCAATAAGCCTTTCATTGCAATTAGAAGATATAAAACCAAGTAAAATGGAGCAGATCCTTCACTCTGTGACACAATAATGATTACCTTTGCTTCTCCTATTTCCTTATCTGCAGTCTCAAGCACTATTTCTTTGTGTCTTTCCAACTGCTGTGCCAAGTGATCTATTTCATTCAGTTCTTGACACAGTTCTTCATTTTTATTGCTTAAATCCACTACCTCACTAGTCACATTTTGTTTAGTGTCCAAGAGATCTTGAATGCGATTTTCAAGTTCTTTGTTTTTTTTCTGAAGATAATCAACCTGAAAGATATTTTTCATTAAAATATATTAATATGCATTGTTAACTTAGGTAGCAAAAGTTCCTCCCAATCTTCTGAAATACAGTATCTCTATATCCAAAGTAAAAAAGTGGTATCCTGTTAAAAATGGCAAGATTTTCTATTTTTAATGCTTATCAACCTGAAAAAGAAATACAATGTTATGAGCTCTCTCATAGTCATGAATACTGCTATCTAAAGACAGCTATATATTTCTTGTCAAATAAAAGTGGTATATTGGGACCAAGCCTGAACAAATAGTCTTGATGGTCCAAAACCAGCTTGTTCATGCTCTGGGCTCACTCCCTGTACAATAAATTTGTATTCATCATGATTTACTAATTCAGGACCACTGAGCACAGCTGTCCTGCTTCCAAGTCATAGCTCATTCCATATTTTTGCAGCACTGAACCTAAGCTAATAAACTCTTCAACATGCCACTGTACATCATGCACAACCAGTACACAAAATGTCTAACTCACATGAGAAAAACATGAGAATTGATGGCACAAATCCAGAGATGGGCTTTATGTGATTTGTACTCCAGCCCATCTTCAAATTCTCATTACAAGACCACTACTGAATGCATATTAATACACACAGTAAACACAAACACCTTTATACTCAGTTTATCCTTTGCTCACAACTTTGTGTTGGAGTGAAAGTGGGAACCATTTGAAAACCACAAGAAAGATTCCCCACTCTCTCATGAGAACACCTACAGGGTTACCCCTTATCATAATTACATATACCATTGTTACTTTCTAAAGCATAAATGGCACGCATGCAATACTTTCTAACTAAAAGGATTTTCAACATGCTGAAAACGGTGTGTCATACAAAAATTTGCTGAATACTTTCAGTGCATGCAATAACTTTCTAACTAAAAGGATTTTCAAACATGCTGAAAACAGTGTGTCATACAAAAATTTGCTGAATACTTTCAGGTTAACGTACTATGAACAGATGTGAGTTCATTGAATTCTTTACCATAACATTTCTGACAGATTTGTAAAACAGGAAATGAAATTTCCTTAAAAAAGAAACACTGCCGCCAAAAAAGAACGACAAGTTCCATCAATAGATTTTATAGCTATAGTGGTTTTTTGAAGAGCTAGAAATTTTGTGGAGTTTTCTTAGATCGTTATATTTTTAGGTTTGACAACTGTAATAAATGAATTACCTGTATATTCAAGTGGGAAATAAGCTTCTCATTACTTTTAGTCCTCGATTCCAAAGAGAGAACCTCATGGGAACGCCCACCATCCAATGCCAGCATTAAGCGCTCAATTTCTTTGTCTCTTATCTCAACCTTTGAGGAACAAAAAAAACCTCCAGTATCCTTATACACCATTAATAAACCCTTCATTTAAATAAACATACACGTAACATTCAGAAAAGATAGGCAACTAAAAATACAATTTCTATCTTGCATTTTCTGTTGGTTTTCAAATTTTTGGTTCTTCTGAAAAAAGTTATATCTTTGAAAGAGAAATAAAGTAATCAAACACAATTTGTAAGGAAAAACTGGAACAGGTCCTGCTAGATTACATTCTTGAAGAAAACCAAACAATTTTAATTTAAAGTGAAGTTAATGAATGCTACAACTTAACTGAGACTAGCACTTAAAGTTAGGGAAAAAACTTTTAAGCAAGCTAACTCAGTGATTATTCCAGTCACCGGAAAAAAGGAAATATTGGAAGAGGAAAACCAAGAAGTGAAGAAAAAAGAAAGACACAATCCATAAATTTTGAAAGATGTAACGTATAAACATTTGATGTAATTCCACTACTTAAAGATTGTATCTATCTTATCAATCCACTCTCATTCAAACATTGTAAAATCTGTTGTTCATAAACATTTTAAAAATATAACCAGTCCAAGCAGAGAAAAAATCATCTTAACATATATGAAGATCAAATTGCTATTTTGGACAAATTAACACTTACGCACTAAAAAATGCAGACAAATTCTACTTATGATTGTCAAGTTTAGCTTATTTAATGTAATTTTCATAGACAAAATTTATCAGCAAAACCACTGGGCAAGTATTTTGTCATTGCTGCTGTCTCCAAAAGCAGAGGAGGGAAACTGCTCAACATAGGCAGGTTAGAATAATTGTATTTCACAAGCCCTATAAGGCATTCCCAAGAAGGTTTTTAAGATACCAAGGCCACTGTCATTGCTATGACATCCAAATAATAACAATAATATTACTATTAATAATAAAACAAAAGTACCACTACTACTGATAATACAAACATACCTGTTTGCTATAATTTTTCATTCCACTTTCAGATGTCTCCAGCTTTTCCTGTAGCTCAGTTACTTCTGACTGCAGCTCTTGAATTCTGAAATGTAGCACTATATTTTTATGTGAATTCATGAAAGAATTGTATGCACACAATTCAACACTAGCATTTTCTCTTTGCTCCAGAACCCAAATATTTCACAGAGAAATAGTTTTGCTCATGCAAAATATTAAAGCAGAAGCTGTTCTTTGAGATATTGTAGCAGGTTGACTGTGCTTGGCTGCCAGTCCCCCACGCAGATGCTCTCTTACTTCCTTTCCTCAACAGGATGGGGGAGAAAAGAAGAAAAAGCTCACGGGTCAAGATAAAGACAGGGAGACCATCCACCAACTACTGCCACCAGTGACAGACTCAGGTGGGAGAAGATGAATTTAATTTATCAATGGAAAGGAGTAGGACAGTGAGAATCAGACACACCGACACGTCAAAGTTAAGAAGCGGTCTGGCTCACCGATTATCAGCCACCTGGAGAAGGTCTGCGATGTAGGGGTCCTGTGGCTGAGGCACTGGGTAGGAGCTGACTCCTGACGGGGGCACAAGCTGGTCTATCTGCATGCGCTGCCGCCGGAAGGGAATGCTTTTCCTCCTGCCACCTAAAGGCCCAAACCCATGGTACTTGGAGTTAAAGCAAGGGAGTCATCTTCTTTAATACAAAATTAATTTTCCTATTTATTCCACTGCTTCTGAATGGGCATGTTTCACCATTTTAATCCTGCAATAAGCTGATAAAATTCACATATTCTAGACAACGCCATTCTTGCAGGTTAGTACCAGTTTTGCCTAAGTTCACTATTATATACTTCACTATAATAATAATAAAGAAACACACCTTTTGTAAATAATTTTCCCCAGTGTTTAAGATCCCAAATACTCTATAGTTCAAACTTGTTGAAGCTGTTAGTGATTCAGCTTACTAAAACAGCTAAATCAAAACATCACAAAAGGCATTTGGTTTTCACATTTAAGAACTACTTTATGACTGAAGTAACCTTTGCATTGTTTAGTAATATTTTTATTCCTTCTCCTCTGTGTTCATTTCAATGACTATCATACCCTACTACTTATCAAGCAGAGTATGCTATTAGCTTGAATGATAACATATTTACAAAAAAGCAAAACACAGTACTTTTTCCAGATAGAACATTTCTAAATAAGAACATGCAATATTGGATGATGCAGTATAGAAAAACCCTAGAAGACTGGTGACCAAGGGGCATGTATGCAGAAAGACAGACAAAAGATGACAACATGTCATCTTTGAAGCAAAGGACATGAAGTGCAAAAAGGTATGCAAAAATAAAGAGGAAATTTAATTTTTCCTAGCTATCTACTGATTTTCCTCAAATGCAAAAAATGCATATATAATTCAATGACTTGGAAAAAAAAGACAGTCTCAAAATTTCACAAAATAATTCTATATTCCTTAGCTTTCAAAAAATTAAGAAAAAGGAAACCCTGGAGAAAGACATTAACCTGAACGTTACATCTAGAACATTTTAAGTTATCAAAAGACCCTGTAAATATTGTAAATTTACAGAGGACTGGAATACTTGTAGACATATTTTGCATCTTGCTATGTTTAGATATTGGTTCCAAAAATCTGAATTTGTCACTTACACATCAATTATCTGTAAAAATATGCAAGTGTCAAACAATATGTCTCTTAATTAGGTGCAGCAATATAAGAAATAGCTGTTGATTAATAATGCTTTCTGACACATTCTAACTTAAAAGTCTTCAGTGGAATCTAAGTTTGCAGTCAAATTTGTCCCTAACACAAGGCATGACCTAATGAAACTTCAGACAGAGAAATTACACAATTCAGAGCACAAACTTTCAAAGGGTGATGTTACTCTACTGGATATTTTACTGCAGAAATTTCTGTTACGAGAAGAAAAGATATTATGTTCTGAAGATCCAAAAAAGCCCAGAAAAAAGTTGAAATATCTGAGATTATTTACACTTACCAGGTGTTTGCACCACTGCTTGCAGATTCTTCTCCTGAAGCTGCTGAATTTTTTCAGTCTTGGCTTTGGTCTCTTTTTCCAGCACTTTAATTTTATGTATATACTGGTTATTCAAAAATTTCAAGTCAGTCGTTTCATGTTCAACCCTCCTTAGGCAAGCTTTCAAATCTTCAAGGGAGAGAAAAGCAGTGTTATTTCTCTTATTCACTATTATTTTTCCTAGTAGCACCAAAATAAGCACAAGAAAATCCAATATTCTTTTGCCATAGCATAAAATTATCAAATACACATACACCTGTGCATACTTTTACAAACAAACACACAAAAATATATATCTATACATGTTTTATAAATAAACACCCACTGTGGGACAAATGCCCATTAAACAGCAGTTTTTTAATTTTCAATTAAAAAACACCGTTTCAAGGTACAAAAGTATACATTAAGACTTCTAACATTCTCATATTTTATTGAAACAAAAATCTGCGGAACTGCCAAAGTTTTTTGACTGCAAAAGAAATGTCTGAGTATGAACAGTAATTCATTAAAGGCATTAAACTCCATGACCATTCACATAAAAGAATCTGCAGATGAAGGATTTAGGCACAATTTTATTTTGGCATGGAAGGATTAAAAAAACAAAATCATAATTTGTATATTACCTTTAACATGACGATCAGACTGCTCTTTCAGTTTTAATATTTCTAAATGTAGATCATTATTTTCCCTGGTAAGTCTAGCATTCTCTGTTTTATAAGGTTCCAAAATAGTATCATAATTGCTGCACTCTTTCTCAGTTTTTCCAGAAGAAAACTTTGCTTTGCGCAAGCTCTCAGTTGTATGAACTAAGTCACTAGGATAAAGGAGCATCAGATGTGTTAGCAATGTTATCAGCCCTCACACTGCACATGCAAATGTTTATTATGACCTGAGAAACAAAACTCTTTCCCCAAGAGGGGGAACAAATGAGTTCAAACAAAGGCAACAAAACATTCATGTCATCTAAGAAAAACTGAAAGATTGGAACCATCTGTTAAAAAAAAAACAACAGTAAATAGGAAAGAACAGGATAAAAAAAATAAAAAAAACAAAATACAAAGCATATCAGGAGTTTACATCTGATAAGTATCAAAGCTAGTGATGGAGAAAGTAAACCTACCTGGTAGACATAAGAATGAGATTAATGTTTAAGACAGATTACTCCATATTTGCCTACCTATGTTCTTCCATCTGTATTACATACTAGAGAGCAGCAGAACCAGAATAGCTACACTTGTGTGTTTCATCAAATGTAATTGGATTACTATGGAAATTACTGTGTTCTTAATAATACCAAAGCCAAAAACTGGCAAATCTAATAAGAAGGAAATCTGAAAATTTTTGCCTTTTTTTTCTATTATGTGTCTTGTAAAAAGGGCAGAGACAACAAATTTAAAATTCTCTAAATGAGGCCATAATAAATGGAGATGTGAATGTTTTATTTTAAGTCCCACCACAGGCAATAGGGACCATTTTTTATACAACCAGTCACGAGAGTGCATCTTTTTAAGGACATATCAATAGCGACTATTCTTGGCTCTCTTATGAGGTTAGAAAAGTTGAATTTTCCTATGCCATAGATCCTTAGAAATCTACTAATTAAATTAAATCTTAAGATGCTTCCATCATTTAACCAAACCCATTTGACTTCATCAGACACCAGAACTTAATGTTAGCTCCAAAATAACACTGCTAGAAAATAATTCGCATAGTAAACCTTCTTTCTGACATGTCAAAAATCAAACAATAGCTACTATATGATTACTATTTTTTTAATGAAACCCCTCTGAATACCTGAAGAGCTTTTCCACCAGAGGTAAACTGTCCACTCCCAGTGGGTGCCGATAGCCCAGCTGATTCAGGCGTTTCCTGAGATTAACAAACCTTCGCTCTGCGTTTGCACTCATTGTAAACACACCTCCAAAGCTGCTTTTGTCACAATCAGCAAAAACAGAACACCTGCAAAAGATTGTTGGTTACAGCATCTGTCCTTTACAGAGGAAAAATATAGGAAAAAAGTAATGGAAAAAAATCTTTTTATTCTGTAGGAAATACAGTGCATAAGCATGTCCTTAAAATTTAAGTAAATCAAAACAGGATCACTGCAACTGAAAAGTTTTAAACATATTTAGATATTCCTTTAAAAATAAGTATTTGCTTTTTTTGACAGTTTTTCTCATTATATTCTGATTTTTTTGAATCATGGTCATCACTGTATCTTGCACAAATACAAACTGACAGATTACTCTGAAAAATTCATACTTTTTCGTAATATATAAATCTTACTTTCAAAGTTTACAAGCAAGTACTTAATATAACTTATGCCAACCATTTCTAAAATTGCATAAAATATGTGAAATGTTAAAGACAGATTAACTTTCAGCATCTACGTTCTAAAATAGAAAATAAGAATGATAAAAAATACTGGTGTACTGCAGTCATACTTGCATAATTTTATGGAAAATACAGTTCAAGGATCAGAGAGCTGGGTATTTTTTCAATTGACTGATTAGTTATACTAAGCTGATCTAAAGGAGACTGGATCAGCATTACTGTGTCTGAATCCAAATGACAATTTTGGTTTTCCCAAAATCTGAGGAAATAAGTACTTTTACATCATTATGTCCTTCTGAATTCAGACAGAGAATGAGAAAACAAATCAAGTACTAAATCATATGTTTCTTAATCTGTAAAAACATCTGTTCAATAGTTAGAAATATTTCTGAAAAGTAGCTATTTCTGTAAAACATCTTCCCTGACATTTCTTTAGAAGTTTCAGTATTAACCTATTGGCTGCAAAGACCTGAGCAGCCAAACTACCAATTCAAGGTGGTGTTGTTTGCATCTCATATAAAAGGAACAGAATACAGAGATCACCCAAACTATCATCACAACCCTCCAGATTTTAAAAATATATTTAATAAATACATGAAGGTATTTGAAAATAAAATTAATTATTACTAATAAAGTAAGGAAAATGTGCATGTTTCACTCATATCTAATGCTGGAAAGTTAAGATTTCATCTCATTTTATTAAAACACTACGAAGAAGTCTAGCAACAGACCTGTGGTTGCCGGGTGCTGCTCTGTAGATGAGAATCACCAGTCTTACAAGTACGGCATCTGCTCCAGGTACTACCAAAAATATTTGGTGGAGAAGTTCGAGTTGTTGGGATATTAACTAAGAAATGGCATTGGGATTGCCAACAATCTCTCACATACTGTGCTGGGGTTGCTGAAGGAGGCAGCGATGCACTTTTGTTCCACCAGTGCACTCAGTGGAAGTCAATGTCCTGATGTGTAGGAAATGCTCTTCATACTCCTCTGACAGCCAAAGATTAAAGTAAGAAGTTCTTGGTATTTCTACATTAAAGTTGAAGATTTTGTGTTGAATTCAGTAAAAGTGTGATTGTGTTACTGTGTCGAGATTGAGACTCAGGAACATATTTTATATTACTACAGAAAAAACCTGGTAACTCCTGAGCCCATCTTCTCCTTAAGAAGACTTGTATCAGTTAAAAAGATTAAATTACCTCAAAATAGTTCATCAGATTTGTTTAAAAGCTTGTGTTTTAGAAAGAGCAAAGATTTTTTACTAATTGAATTGAGAAAGTTTTACAGAAGAAATATCATGAACAAATCTGTGTCACAGCTTGTACAGGAAGTAACTGCAAAGAAAAATAAATGGATATATGTTAGCACTTCAGTTACTGTAGCTAGGAAGTACATATATAATCTCACTAAATCCCTGCAATGGACATTGAAAACATAGTAACCTAAGCATAATCCAATATTGGGAAGTACTGACAAATTGCTGGTTGAATCACTCTCCTTCCTAAAAACTGAAATTTTTAATTTAACTCATTATTGCCACTGGAATCAATCCAGAAAGAGTATTATATTCCCTAGAGCCACATCTGATCCACAATAAGCCCAGGAAATTAATAGTTGTAGTATAGTTCCAAAAGGCATCCTGGAATGAATATGAGTTTGGGTTGTTATTTCAGAGAGCTTAACATAGATATTAAAATCTTCAAAGACAATAATTGCCATAAACTCTTTGTTGGAAAGAAATTATGTGTCAGTAATTCCAGACCTCTGCTATTACAGACTACCATGATTTACATCTTATATCCTAAACTTAGTTCATCACTAGTCTTACCATATCTAGTAAATTCTACATGAGGAAAATTTGGTTTTCTGGAAATATAAAATCAATATATGACATGCAATGATTCAGATGAATCCAAAGATACTTGGCTTCACTATTCATATTCATTCCTAGCTTACCATTTGCCTTTTTGATCGCTCTAAAGCATTGAGTAGATGCATTCACCATGACTCATCCCACGGACTGGTTGCTACCACTTTAGAAACCACAGCCTGTATCACTCTGCCTTTCCTTTATAAAATCAATATATGATATGCACTGATTCAGTTGAATCCAAGACCTGACACAATGTCCTGTGTCTCTTGATAGTTGCAACAGCAAGAGTATAAAAACCTAAAAACCACGAGTCAAATCTTACTCCTACATAATTTTTTTTTCATATAAGCCTCTATAATGCAGGGCCTTGAAGGGCTTCAAGTTGGACTGAAATAATTATAACAGTACCTGACAGACCTTTCTCTGAGCAGCCACAGAGATACTTGGCCACAGCCTTCACTATTCATATTCATTCCTAGCTTACCATTTGCCTTTTTGATCATTCTAAAGCACTGAGTAGATGCATTCACCGTGACTCATCCCACGGACTGGTTGCTACCACTTTAGAAACCACAGCCTGTATCACTCTGCCTTTCCTAACACTGCTCCTTAACTCTGGCATCATTACTCAGTCCAGTGAAATCCTTCTGACACCCTTGGACTGCACTTAACACAATAACACAACGAACAAATTTTGTCCCCTGCTATTTAACCCACTCTTTCACATTACTGATCAGCGTTTGTCATGGCTTAACCCCAGCTTGCAACCAAGCACCACACAGCTGGCTTGCTTACTCCTCCACTCCCACAGGGGTGGAGAGGAGAATCAGGGGAAAACAGGCAAAACTTGTGGATTGCCATAGGAACAGTTTAATACTTGAAACAGAATATTATTATAATAATATTAATAGTAATAATAATAGTGGTAGTAGTAGCAGCAAGAGATCTTGATAAAACCAAGAGATGCACAATGCAATTGCTCACCACTTGCTGACTGATGGCCAGCGTGTCCCGAACCACAGTCAGCCCCACTCTGGGTAACTCCCCAGTTTATATTTTTAAGGTGTGGAATACCCCTTGGGCCAGCTCAGATCATCTGTCCTGGCTATGCTCCCTCAGGGCTTTCCGTGCAGCTCCTCACTGGCACTGAGATGTCCTCTGCTGAGAGCAAGCACTACTTAGCAACAACCACAACACCAGAGTGTTATCAACATTATTCTCGTGCTGAATCCAAAACACAACATTGCACCGCTACTAGGAAGGAAACTAACTTCATCCCAGCTGAAACCAGGGCACTTGGTCTTTGTTTGCTCTAAAGCATACATTAAATGCATTCACAGTGACACATCCTTCTGAGCAGTTACTGCCATTTTAGAGACCACGTGTATCACTTTGCCTTTATTAACATTATCCTTTAATTCACACTTTATTACTCAGTCCAGTGAAACTCTTCTGCAATCCTTGGGATTGCTCTTCACGCGTCTATAAAATGAGCAAATTTTGTCCTTTGCTGTTTAACCCATTCTTTCAGATCAGTTTTAATCAGCAGACAATCTTCTGCACATTCACTGTAAGGTAGTACTTTCTATTCTCTCTTTTCCACCAGCTTCTTTTCTCCATTTCTGACAGACACCTGCTTTCTTAACATTTGGTAAACAACCTTCTCAAAAAGCTTTTTTGTAAATCCAAGTTTTCTACATTATTTGCACCTAGTCAATTCAATCCAGAATATGCTTTTCTTTAAAGAAGCTTGTGAATCACAACCGAGTCCTGAAGAAAGGTATGTCACATCTACTAAATGTCTGTAAGTTTGCAAAATACTGGAAAGTACTCTTAACAGCTGCATAAATAGTTCACATAATTTATCATCTACATATTTCTTGCAATTTAGGATGCTGTGAAAAAAATCTAATTTCCATTTTCGATGAAAAATAGAAAAGAGAAAATGGAACAATATTTTAATTCAGCCATTTCTTAAACAGGACTTATTAATATGTCTAAATGATTACATCTCTAGTACTTTAAATCAGCCATGTGCCAAACAGGATTTATTAATATGTTTAAATGATTGCACCTCTCAGTTCCTTGCTGAAGAGTATTCAGAGCCAATTAGTCTCATTTTTTGTTCCCCCTTTGCTCATGAAGACTGCTGAAGGTGACAACATTCACCTTCATTTTATGACATGCTTGGATAGCTGTGAGCAGTCTTTTGAAGATATAAATGTTTATGTAATAGATATATGTAGCACCTAAGAATTGTTCCCTACTGTTTTAAGCCACCAATGTCCAAAATTGAACCTTGACGTGAAAGATGTGCAATAGTGGAACCCTATATCCAGCTGCTCTAGGCTTTATGTAGAGAATCAACTGGCATAAAATTGTGTGAAAGCAGCAATGTTTATAGGTATTAGATTAGCAGACTGAAGTCCTCCTGCTATTCAGAGAACAACACAGCAAAATTGATATTGAGTACAGGTTCAGAACTGTTGCAGATGCAACATTTGTGTTATCAATCAGAAAATGTAACAATAAAAAAGCAGAGCAAAGGTGGATCTTGACCATGGAAGAAATAATGCAGTCATTGAGCCATATGGACAACAAAACTACATTGCTAACAGCTGAACACAAGAAATTACTATGGACAAATGTATATACTATGAAACAAATCTTTTTTTAACTGAGTCTGTAACACTAACACCAAAGACAATCGTGATCTGCAGCTTCAGTCTCAGTTTTGGGCAACACCAAAATGCATTTTTCATTCAACAGAACTTACACGTTAAAAGTTTTTTCCTTACATCATTACTGTTCACGCAGGTACCAAAGGCACTCAGTGGAGCTGATATTTGACTGCTGCAGGCTTTAGGGCTGTGCCATGACACGAAGCTGCTGCAACATCATGTTGAAGATACACCCAAAGAGCCTGCGCTTGCTTTAGGAAAGTCTGCTTCCAAGTGGATTTGCAGGGAGCTCATTTCTGACTAAGATATTCACACAGCACGCTTGTATGAATATCATACACTTGCCAGGGGAAAGACAATACCTGTTCCGAAGAAGCAGATTATTTCGCTACAGTGTAATGAATAGGGAAAGACAACACTTGTTGAAGAAGCAGATTATTTCGCTACAGTGTAATGAATGCCAGGATGGTAAGGGTTGGAAGGCAGTTCTGGAGAGGATCCAGCCGAGGCAGGTTCCCCTGGAGCAGGTGACAGGAACGCGTCCTGCTGGGTTTAGAATGGCTCCAGAGAGGAGGACCCCACGTCCTCCCAGGTCACCTGTCCCCACACCCTGTACCTTCCCACTACAGCACAAGAAAACTCTTTCGCTCATGAGCCTGCTCATCGCCCGTCTCCCTAACCTGGGAGCTTTGCAGACCTTCCAGCAATCCCAGTCCGTACCTACACAGGGGCGGGGGTCGCTTTGCAAACAGGTTTACGGCACTTTAACCCCACACTTACCACTAAAAGCGGGGCGGCGGCGATGTCCCAGCGCCTGAAATCCTTTGAAAATGGCGCGCGGAGCGGCGGCCGCTTCCGGCCCGTCACCGCAGCAACGGGGGGACGCGCCCGCCGGGCCCGGCCCGGCCCTTCCGCCCCTTCCTTCCCGGGCCGCCCCTTCCCGGCCCGGCGGCCCTCGCGCGGCGGAACGCTTCCTGCTGCCCCGGTGTGCCAGAGCCGGGACGAGCCGCCTCGCCCGTGCCCACAGCCCGGCCACGAGAGCCTGCGAGGAGCACGGAGAGGGACGGTTCCATGGGCACATAGTGACGGGAGAGGGGGCGAAGGATGCAGGGGAAAAGAGAAGTAGGTTTAGATTGGGTGCGAGGAGGGGAGGAGGAAGCTCTTCACTGTGAGGGCGGTGAGACGCTGCACAGGTTGCCCAGAGAAGTTGTGGATGCCCCGCTCCTGGAAGGCCAGGCTGAACGGGGTTTGGAGCAGCCTGGTGTACTGGGACGTGTCCCTGCCCAGGAAAGGCGGTGGGAACTAGAGGACCTTTAAGGTCCCTTCCAACACAATTCTATGAATCTGTGAAATCTAGGTTTCATCGAGCAGGTTTGTAACAAACTCAAAAGGAAACACTCAAATTCATACTGTTTTTTTGTTCTTTGGTTTTTTGGGGTTTTTTCGTTTTTTTTTAATCTTGCATCTGCATCTCAAACATTCTACTCCTGCATGTTTATTGTACCTGTTTCTACCTTGTATACACCCCACCTCTATCCAACAACTTGGCTGTTTCACCAAGCTGTATGGAAAACCCAGGTCCTGAAGTAGCAGAGGTTTGTAACAAACTCAAAAGGAAAAACTCAGATTCATATTGGTTTCTTGATCTTTGGTTTTTTGGTTTTTTTGTGGGTTTTTTTGTTTTTTTTTTTTTTTTTTTAAATCTTTAATCTGCATGTTTATTGTACCCGTTTCTACCTTGTATACACCCCACCTGTATCCAACAACTTGGCTATTTTACCAAGCTGTATGGAAAACCCAGGTCCTGAATCCCTGGCAGTTGAAGCTCCAGGAGGAGGAAGGATTTACATGAGGTTTAGAGTACACTGATACTACGGTGCAGAAATGCAACAATTCTTCAATAGCCAGCAGCAAAACAATGGAATTAACTCCTGGCAGCTGAAGCTCCAGGAGGAGGAAGGATTTATATGAGGTTTAGAGTACACTGATACTACATCATATTTACTAAAAGGAAGAAAAACATCATGGGTGCAGAAATGCAACAATTCTTCAATAGCCAGCAGCAAAACAATGGAATTAACTCCTTCAGGTATTTTCACCTTTTTAAAATAACTCTGCACAGAAATAAAGAATATGATGAACATAGTTTAATTAAGAATTATAGCCATAGTCACATTACATCTCAAAACATGAATTCAATCTTCCCACTGCATAAAGTTCTACATCCATACTTCCCAGAACAAGGAAGGGGAAATATCAGATAATCTTCAATACTTACATAATTTCTAAGATGAAAAATATTAGTGAAAACAGTAGTATTCTTTTGGCATACTATGAAGGTAGTGCTTACTGCTTTTGGCAAGGAAGAAATTATAAATAAAAATATTTTAATATTAGGGAAAGGGAAAAACTGTATCTGAAGTGTTTCACTGAATTAATGCTTTCAAACAGTACTTCAGCCCAATAGAAACACAACAAATCCCCGAAGATTTTATTTTGCCCTGAAAGGCATTTGAAGCAGGAGTGTTACTCAACATACATGGCATGGCAGTTAACTACACACACATGGAAATCCACCTTTTAAAAACCCAATAACATTTATAGTGTTTGATTCCCTTATATACAGGCACGCACTTTGCTAGCTTCTCTTTCCCTTTCTACAACTTAATGAGACTGTGCAATACTGGAGCAGTAGTCCAAAATGTCCTGTATAGTGAATTCCATAGTAATTCCTGATCCAGGGTAGCAGCGAGCTATCAGCCCTTCAAAGTGCTTGTACTGTCGTATGAATTCATCTTGCATGGAGTGCCACACGACCTGCCAAAGAAAGCAAACTTTAGAAAAAGTCAGCTGGCACAACACACTGCATAGGTTAACTAGAAAACACTGGCTCATTAACTGATTCTCACTTCCAGTGTCATTTTACAGTTTTTACCCATGCTGACATGACTTGTAATAAACGTGCAAAGCAGAAAATAGTAAAGAAAATGGGGAAGTTTTCCTAATAGAGGTATTGCTTTTGTCTTTCAGGAAAACACCCTGAACGAGAAGAGTGCTATAATTCATGTTTCAGACTTTAAAAAGGTGTTTAAATAAGCTTAACTCAAGTCTACTTATTATTTACAACAGCGAAAAAGTTTACAGAATTTAAGAAAAACATTAGATAATATTAGAAAATATATGACTGAAATATATGACTGTTAGAAAATATATGACTGAAAGTATCCTGCTATAGTGCACCAGCTAAGATTCACATCAGCTTACCCATTCATTTAAATTTACTCTCTACTTCCAATATATTTTGCAGAACAGATGTCACCCATTAATGGACAGCTAGTGAATCATAAAGGAAGTTACTTTCAGACTTTTTTATACCACTCTGGTCCAAATCAGTATTAAACAAATAGAAACAGAACAGGATTATAAAAAACCCAAAAGCTGTACTCAAAATTAATGTTTTTAGAGTTACGCTGAACATTGCCACAGAATACATATTGCAACAGCAGTAATAAAAAGCCTCAGTGTAACATTATAGGGTTTTTAAGACACAATTTAGTTTACCTGAAGTAAGTTTTCTTCTTCACAGAGATGTTTATCTACCTTCTTGTAGAGATTGTCCAATCCCTTCTTCACTTCTTTACCGGGATATTCCTTTATAACTTTACGAAGCTCTTGTTTATTAAAAGCCAGCTGATAGCTTACTTCCTCTTCCCGTATACCTTGTGCCACACGAGCTTCAACACCTTCAAAAAAATGCTAAACACAAGTAATAGCATTAGTCACTATCACAAATCTGAGCTAATTGACTTAATTTGACAAGGATATATGTGGTTAAATCTTGATCTGCTTCACGACTGTTGTGAATTTTTGCTTTTTAATTGGTCATGAAGTACTGCTCAGCCATAAACGTTAAAACAGAGCCCAACAATACAGCAGTCCAAGTACTAGCATAGAATTGAAACTCATAATTTTCTAGAAGCAATTGAGCTTTTCTTTGCAACCTTCTAACTAATAACCAGTCAGCCTCAAAATCCTCAATTCATGAGCTCATAAGCAGGGATCCAAATACTGGATCTTTTGTATGAATTCCCCAAGCACCTGAGCATCTTTTAAACCATAATTACACAAAAGCATATTTGTTCACAATTGTCCTCCTTTCTCACTGTCATTGACCAGTTTCCTCAACAGAGTAAATATAAAAGTTTTAGTAAATAGAGGGAAGTATTTCCATGAACATGCAGCTTGAGCTCAACAGTGCATCTGGTCTGGGTAGGACAGAGGTAACTCCCTGGTTAATGTGCTTCACAGGAGCCTACGTGGTGCTGTGTTTTGAATTTGTGGCTAAAACTGAGCTGATAACACAAAAATGTTTTGGTTACTGCTGAACAGGTCAAACCTGACCAAATCATAGCACATAACATCATGCTCGGCTATAAAAATTAGAGTTGGAAGAGGCAGGTTTGGTGTTTGGCTTCAAGGTGGCCGTTGCTTAGAAACTGCCTGGGAATCAGTCTGCTTGTGAGAGGTTGTCAATGACTGCTTTTACATCACTTTTTTTTTCCTCTTTCTCTCTCCCCTTCTCTGATTAAACTGTCTTTATCTCCACCCCCAAGTTATTTCACTTTTGCTCTTCCTGTTGTCTCCCCTGGAGAGGGGGGACTGAGTAGCAATTACCTATGTGGCAGCTTAGAACGTTGGTCAGAGTCAATCCACAAGTGGGAAACAGCAATAAAGCATTTTAATTTTCAAAATGGGAATACATCTTAAATGTCTCTGAAAATGGATGCCTGAAATCCTGTTTATAGAAAAAGCCATGAGACATTCAAGTGGACAGGACTGAGTCAGAACCTAAGTCACTACTCAGTTTAACATTTAGTTCAACTTCAGACATACAGAATTTTCCTGTAACTTTGCTTGTTGGACAGCTTGAAAACTACAGCAATTTTCTCTGCAGTTGAGGTGAGAAAGATTGTCCCAAAAATCCTGCTGACTTTTCCCCTCCTTTCTTCTTCCTCAAAATCATTTGCTTATGACACTGATGTTTAGTCAGTACCATTAATTACCATGAAAATTTGGTTATTTTCATCCAGATTGTTACCCACATGAGTACTCCTGCCAGACATGCTCCAGTCCAAAATAATTAGAGATTATGAAAGATGCAGTGATAAAGAGATCAAACAGTGGAAATAATACATTCAAAAACTATCCTGTACCATTTAAATGAATACTCAAATATACTCACATTTAATTTCTCAAGAGGCTGTCCAAGTGAGTAGATTACATAAGACTGAAGGTGATCAGTATATTTCTGCTTGGCTTCTTTTTTCTCAGCTTCCAGACAAGAAATTTTCAAGCGAGAAAGTGTTGCAAAAATATGATGGAAGTTCTCCATCATGACAACGTCCCTGGGTGTCTTCTGACTTTCATTAGCTACTTTCTCAACTGAAAGAAACGAGAAGCAAAATACTTAGAATACCAAAAGGACAAACAAATTCAGAAAAACATAAACAATAACCATAATACTCTCAGAAAAGGTATTTTGAATTTCACGTAACTGATTACCATTTGTATGAGTCAGAATTAGCACTAAATAAACATTACCTAAGAGCCTTCAAAAGAAGCAACAGACACATTCAGGCTCTAAGAGGATGAAACTTGTATGGCAAAAAAGTCACTCATAAAAAGATACAGAACACAAAAATAACACAAAATAATGAGCATGTATGATCTCTTTAACAGGTGTGAGGAACAAATCACATTCTGAGGAGGCTTACAAGCATGCTTTCAGTATCCCTAATAAATTGCACATGATGGAACGATTTAGGAGAAGTCACAGTAAAATCCATTCCCATCTTCACTAGGACAAAAATCTTCAATAAGGTAGTGGGGGTTTC